GCACAGCCTCCAACTCAGATTTGAAAAAAAATCAGTGGATGACTGTTTTCTGACTGTCCGGCAGACCGCCGACCGGTCAGCCCTACTGATCGGCTGCAAAGCGGTTGGCGGTCGGCAGCTATGCAACCTTGCCACATCCACAAAATTTGACAAAAATGAAAGTTATCTTGTAAGCCATGACAGAGGGAAGCGTTGAGTGTGCACTTTATGTAAGGGACACTGGAGCCAGTTTCCAGCTTTTGTGATAGTTAAAAAGTTGTCGGTTTTTTTTTTTTCGGTTTTGTTTTTTTGGTGTACCTTGTAGGTGTCTGAGGTCTCTCCCAAGTGATTGGGTGTATCATGTTTCGAGCACCGGTAGTCTGCTTTTAGAGAGCCACCAATCAATCATTTTTTAGTATTTTTTAATTTTTTTAATTTTTTTTACCAATTGGCCTTGCGCTTCTGATGCCAGTCGAAACGCTTCCATTCCTCTGGTTACTGTCGTCACCCGAATAGATTGCCCGGTCATTATAGATGTATTTGGGGCGACTTTCGGTCTAGATACCGCAATAATGACTGCCCGTCTCATTCGGGTGACGGCGGTAGGGCTTAGGAGAAGGAATCTGAAACCAGATCAACGCTGTGAGGTTTTCTGCACATATGATGGTTTTTTTTTCCAAGGGCTAAGTGATGGCCTGTCCCTGCATTGATGTCAGGCAGTCTATGATCACAATTGGGCCCTACCTAAGGAAGAAGGCTGTGGCCTCCATCACGAAGGGGCTCTGTGAATAGAGGGGACCTTCCTCAGGAATATTAGTCGGGCTAGATGGACCCCTTTAATGCACTCATCTCAATATATTTTAACTGTCCGACAGCGGACCCTAACCCGCTTCTGAAAACTCAGGCCTACCCCCCCATCTTTCTCTATGCTGCCATTGAGAAGGGACAAATCAACGTGAACATCATATGCCTTCTTGAAATCAAAACAGAGGATTGCTGTTTTCTTTTTTCTTTTTTTTTGAAATGATGTGTGTCATCCTTGCAGAGGGTCGTGCTAATCTTCTGTGTATCGTTCCAACTGCAACAGATGCCCCAGAGGACTTCCTCTGTGCATGTCTCTGTGTGTTATGTTTCCATTGCGTGGTTTCTGCGACCGCGTCACAGCATGTTGCTTTGGAAGGTGTGCTTATAAACAAGACCAGGAAAGAGCCCACAGCCCAGGATGCCCATAGAAAAGAATGCTTATAATGCCCAGCTTTCAAAAGCCATGGAATAAAAAAGAAAAACAAAAACAAAAACCAAGCATACATGCAAGCGCACGTCGTGTGGGCGGTTCCCTACGTGCGGCACACGCGCCCAACCGATCCCGTGTGGCGCACGAGTGTGCGGAGAACGACCGGACACCCCCCTCAGAAAAAAATAAAAAAAGGCCGGGGTCGAAACAGTGCGTTTGAGGCCCCCCGCCAAAATTATAAGCGGGATGAAAAAAAAATTTACAGGAGTACTGCCTCACCTTGCTCCTCCACCCCTTCCTCATCCTCCATGTCTCCTCCTCCCTTCTCCTTTACGTCTCCTCCTCCTCCTCCTCCTCCTGTTCGTCCTCCTCCTCCTGCCCTTCCTCCTCCTCCTCCTCGTACTTCCTCATCTTCCATGCCTCCTCGTCTCCTTCCCTTCCTCGTGTCCTCCCCTTTCTCGTGTCCTGCCCTTCCTCGCCATCCATGTTTCCTCCTCCTCCGACTCGTCCTCCTCCTGCCCTTCCTCTTTTCCCTCTGTCCATCTCTTGTCCCCCATCTCGACTCCTCCTCCTCCTTGTCCTCCTCGTCCACATCCTCCTCCTCCTCTCCATATCCCCCTCTCCTTGCCATATCCACATCTCCTGTCATACGCCCCCCCGTTCCTCCTCCCAAAAAAAGATAAAATAATAATAATCAAAATAAAAAACCTGCACGATTCCGCACAGGCACCCCCCGCACGGAACTCCGCACGAATGTGCGGCTCGTGCGGTTGCAAGTATGAAACCAAGCCAACCAGCGGTACGACAAGTACAACAAGGCAACCAAAATGGCGAGGCTAAGCTCAAGACGCAACATGGTACTTGGACAACAAGCCGCAGCAGAGAACAAAGGGTGGAAGGCATGGGGGAGGCGGGCGGGCGGGCAGACAAACAGCACTAGGCAGAAGAATGAGTCGGCAACAAGAAGTCAAGAAGTAGCACTAGGGCGGTGAGGGCGTGGGGGAGTGGAAGGCATGGGGGCGGGCGGGCAGACAAACAGCACTAGGCAGAAGAATGAGGGGCCAACAACAAGTCAAGAAGTAGCACCAGGGCGGTGAGGCCATGGGGGAGTGGAAGGCATGGGGGAGGCGGGCGGGCAGGCAAACAGCACTAGGCAGAAGAATGAGGGGGCAACAAAAGTCAAGAAGTAGCACTAGGGCGGTGAGGGCATGGGGGAGGCAGGTGGGCAGACAAACAAGACTAAGCAAGAAAAGAACAGACAGGAAGTCAAGAAGCCGCAAGGCAATAAGACAACAAGGCAGACAAAAGAAGAAGTAGCAAAAAAACACAAAAGCGAAAAGAAAAGAAAAAACTGATGATAGATTGTTTTGTCGGAGTTGCACCGACTCATCAGGAGGCTGAACCCTTTACAATCTGCAGAATCTCCGTATTTGATGGTTTGGGTCATGAACCTTTTGACCCTTGTTGAAGGCAGACTGTCCCCAAGTGGAACATAGCAGCGGGCAGCAACCCTGATGAGCAGCAGGCAACACAGTAGAGGCAGAACGGCTGCACAATGCCAAAAACGACTGCAAGGAACGACATGGCACGCAGGACATGCAGCACGGCAACAGTGTAGTGAAGCACAAGACAACACAAGCAAGGCAACCACACTGCAAGGGACGGCAGGGTGAGCGGATCAGCAGATCGGCAACCATGGAGCGAAGCACAAGGCACCAGCAACAAGGCAACCAACCTACGAGGCACACAAGCGGCAAACACAGAGGGCACGGCCAGCGGATGAGCGGCAAGGCAGCGGAACATCGAAGTGCAAGGCAACTCCAGCAACACGGCCACCCCACGCAGCGAACACAGCACTTTGCAGAGAACCACATGTGAAGCCAGCGGGACAGGCAGCAAGGTAGCAGCAGAGCGCAGACGAGGCAGTCCACACATCCAACATAGAGTAAAGCAACACATGACCTACCTCACATCAGGATTGAACCCCGCAGACTGTTGGTTCCCACCACCCACTGAGCCAGGGAGCCACTTGGACGAGCATCCGTCATCACCCACAGGCAGCACAGACATCCCGAACCACCCCGCCCCCCTAAGAGTGCTGTAGGCACTCCAAACAGGAACCACCGACTGTTTGGCACTACTTAAGGGTGCTCAGTTGGGCACACAAAAAAATACTTGGAAA